ATCAAGGGTGAGAAAAGTAGCTACTAAAGGCAAAACAATGAGAAAAAAAGACAAAATAGACAGGAAGACACAAGGTCCGACGTCCTTCCTCTTGTAGTAATTCCATGTTACGAACATCTACAGCAGTGATAGAACGTAAGATATATTGTTAGAAAGCAATCATAGAAGCTTTCGAACAGATTCGTTGATAACTGAATGTTATTGTAATGCACCACGTTCGACTAAGAAGCGATTTGGTTCATTCCACACTTCTGCGGCTCTCAGAGCTGCCACTCCAGCCAGCTGGCTTCTATTCTCGTTGTTTTCCCAGTAGCATCTTCACACGCGACTCTTCATCAACATTGTGGAGACCAAGCTCTCTTTCCGACGTTCATGCACTGAACATCGAATGGAGAAACCTAGGAAGTCTCACCTTGACGGCAGAGAACTTGATCAACGGAGTCAAGGACAAGCACGTTGTGCTTCAAGCGCATGTCCACTTCCCGCAGTAGTTATGAGTCCGCTGAGACGATAATACTGCGTTGTAGATAAAACAAGCTTTCTTAATGTGATCGTTTACATCCGTACTTTTTTAAAAATGCATAGTAAGAAGGCTGAGGATGAAAGAAACTGGTATAAAATACAATTTTAGTCTGCCATTGGCCACCTCATCGCATAACAGATGAAATGTGCCGTTAGAACATTTGCAGCATAGCGGATGTCCTTCAACAGCAACTAGCGTGAACTGCAATCAAAAAGGCACAGCCTCATAACTGAATGTGCATTCCGTGGTGATCTCCTTAATGATGGACATCGGAAACTCGAACTGTATAATTCAGAGAGTCGAAAGTTCAGCGCCATGAATTCGTTATTGCAAAGGAGTGTGTCACAATCTCGACGGGACACCCATGCAAACGCCCTCACTTATCTCTTTCCTTCCGCTGTATTGGGCTACCGCGGTTTTACCTTTCATGGCTAGCAATTACCTAATCTCTGTTTTAATTGGTTTATTGAGAATTGGTGGTTGTACACATGACAAGTTTGTTTCAGAGAGACACCGGTTGCCCGCTGCGAATGCTTGCATCATGATGAAGTATTCTTCATGTTACGAAACGTCTGAAAAGCGTCCGTTATACCAGGAACTCCCTCGTTGCTCATAAGAATTTCCACCTTCTTGTTGTCATTTTATAGGAGGCGGGTGTAGTACAGTGGTTAGAGGCCGCCTGCAACACCCGAGATTGATCCCATGCATCAAGGTCACCAAACCCTCTAATCCCTGCGGGGCCCAAAAATTGGTGCCAGACTTATATTGGACGACAACAGCACTGACTCGATACGCCGATGGGTCAGCTAGTTAACCTACAGGCCGAATATGCATCGAATCACCTCCATGGCGCTTGATGAAGTCGGATTCATGGAGCATCCCGAAGTAACTGATCAACGCCGAGAGCTCCATTCCTCTATTATCATTTCATACGCATTGTTTATTTTCTTGTACAGATATGCTTAGCTCAAAGTCGCAATCGCTGACCTATCACATTGTCTCATTTTCTCAAGTTAATGTTGATCCTATATTTTGTAGTTTAACTTACAATGAGTCTATGCTGCCAAACTGATAGTTCAACCGTTTTTGTAAGCGGAATTCGCTGATGTGATAATTTTATGCAACTCCTTTGTTTTCTCTGAATGAGTTTACGAAACGCTTGATTAAATAAAGTTTTCTGACGAATGATCTACTTTGTTTATTCTGCATAAAAACGTCATCAATCCTCTAATTTAGTCCTTTCCCATTTATTGCTTAGACCTGAAACGCTTGATGACTCGCTTAATTAAGACAGTCGTAGGATCGAAATGTTGAGAGTCTTCAGCAACATTCGCTAAATCGGAGGGACACGTGGGCAATATGCGTACTGATTGGTAAAGGTGGTTTACTGGCGTGCGCTGTGACGCGTATATGTAGCCTTATGATGGGATGCAAACTCCTGAAAGAGATATCTAAACGCCTTAAGTGATTTTGCTTGGCAGAAACATTAGGCCTTGAAAAGATCTCACGATGAGTAGGAAAGTCGTGAGCTTCAATGTGTCCAAACACCTCACAACGGAGATTCTGCTGTTGTCTATTTTGACACTGACGGAACCTAGCGCTCTACTCGAGTGTAATCTGACGAGTTATGCAATCGACTAACTGATAAACGGGTTCTCTAGTCACGCAAGAGCGCTCATTCCTCACGCTCTTCCACTGAAGGCTGAACAAAGCGACTATTATTATTACATGTTCATTGTATAATGTAAGCACTTAAGAAGTGTATGTGTGAAGCGAGTCAAAGCACTGTGTTAACACACCAATTTAAAAGAAATTCCTTATCACATTTCTTATTCCATCCCAATCCTCTTTAAAACTCATAGATAGTCACACGAAATGGTTAATTTTCTGACATTAGCGTTAATCTCTGCTCAGTTCCGTTCATTAGCGTCTGCTCAACTACAAAGGAATCACCTTCGGCGACAGAACGAAGAGCGTCCTGTTGTCTTCAAAGTCACCTAACGGAAACCACTTGTCTGTGGGACACGTTCATCATATTTTTATCATAAGGGTTCCTCTAAATCCGTCCCAACCTTGTCATAAATACGAGGCCGCATTCGATCTGTTCGTCATTCCAGAGGGATCTTCACCTTCTGAGTACGCACATGACCCTTCAAGCAAATCAGCTTTCAATTCTTCATATTGGTGAAAAGCTAGAAATTGAGAAGAATATCAAATTTAGTGATCTCCTCTTTGCCAATTTATACAACTGTACTCATTTGACTTGGCGTCAAAACGTCCTTGTTGATTTCTGTGTCGCTGTTAATGTCTACTTTAAGAAACGTTCTTCGCATTTTATATTCTTATCTAGTAAACACGAGGTTTTGTTTCGTTTCTTTATTTACAGACAAGCTGACGTCTCAGAGGATTTTGCCTTCCTCAGAGCCTGGAAAGGTCAAGTTGACCGTAATCTACCCAGCCAAACACCTCCATAACTAAACAGAGAAGATGCGAAACCAAGATTTCAATCCCACTGACCACAGAATAGCTTCTTTGCACATTCACCTTTTTTCACATTAGTCAAAGAATATCTGAAGAGAAGCTCAAGTTTCTACCTTGTTCGTAACCGTGTTTGTTGAGCGGAACTAATCATGCCGTTGTTATTGTCTATCACTGTCTTCTTGCTCTTACTACACCATCTCTTTTGTTAAGCTAGATTCTTCGAGAGACTGAAGATCGTGTAATTATCGTTCAGGTTTTCATCTTTCTCTCTGTGCTGTTGAAGAGTTTGAGCTAGTAAGTAGCGTATCAGTGTATCCTTCCAGGCTCCGAAGAAGGTGACATTGCCGAAACGTCAGCTATCGCTGTTTTGTATGTGTTCCATGTGTACGGAAGTAAACGTGTGCTGAATAACTGAATAACAACCTCGCGATTGCTGAAAACGAGAACGACACATTTATAGTCCAACGCCGAGGTTAATAGAAAGTCGATCTTGGGATCTTTTCTTAGACTTATAATGGTTATTTATTCTTATCCAGTCGAAATATTTAAATATTTGTGGATTTTTATTAGTTCGATGAAACGACTGTACAGTAAGTCCCGTCGTACTGTAGATTTCTGCTCGAGAGTTACTGACTACGAAATCCTTGTTACTTTATTGTTTTGATGTTACCGTATGTTGTAGAACCCATGCAAGGGCAGCTGTTCACACAGCAAAAGTTGTTCACTCTCACAATGACTTACTACCACTCTTCGCTATTGCGATTGTTTTTGGAATCTTCTGTGTCGGCGTGACATCCTTCTAAACGACGATAAATTATTCTTCTAGCATGAGTACAACGTTTGCTGTAACAACTTCCAAAACACTGAAAAACACTCTCTATGTGGCTCTTACCCACGAAAAATTTGCTGGGTCGAGCATAAATTTCCATACGATTAAAACACTTCTGGCTAGGAAAGATTCCTCTCACTAGAGTTTCAAGGCAGCCATTTCAAAGGTTTTCACAGGTAGTCGCCACACCTGGGTGTCGGCTCTATTGGAACGGAGTGAGGTTAGCCACTTTGAGGATGGATTTCTTTTAAAACGGTAGGAATTTCTGACTTTTGTTACTCTTGGATAAGCTTTTGGATAAAAAGTTCGAAGCTCTCGAGCTGAATGACCGTCCCGGAGAACCAGTCCACATCGGTATACCATGGTTACACAACGAGGAACATTTTTTAGTCACGACGAGGCGGCAGGTGGTGTTTCTCATCATACCACGTTGGGAAAGAGTTGCTGAGTTAGGTTCCTATTCTAAACGTCGGAAACTACGCTTACTCGGGGTTTTTAGTTGAAGTGTATACTTATCTAAGAGTGAACTAATTTATCAAAGAAAAAGCCAACAGTCCCAAGAATCATTCAGTTATCTACACAACGCTACGGCACAAGTAAATTCGATTGTACTAGCAAATGTATACCGAATAACCATTCCTGGCATTGTAACAGCTGCAGTAGCACAGTAATCGATGGTACTTTTCCCTGAATCCTTACCACATCATACCACTTCATCGTTTCAAAATTCCAGAAACATTTGCCTGGTTCCAGACGGAATGGGGCGGAGCCAATTCGGACGAGTTTCCATCAGCGTTTCTCTCTGGTCCACACTATACTTTGCCAATCATTGGGGTGTACTATAACCTTTTACCCCTTTCATGTTTTGATAAGCAGCATGCGTTTCTGTTTGTGACAACAGTTGTGATTGGTTTGTCTGTTGTGGCTTAGATTATTCCCAAAGGTCTTTTCTTCATCTGAAGAGATCTTTTGACCAGCTTCGATTTCTTGCATGAGATCGATAAATAATCTTTTATTTGGCTGACGTCTCGACGTCTTCGTCTTTCTCAGAGCCGATGATTGGAGTCGATGCCCACAGTCGTTTGTATTGTCAATGTGGTGTCGTCGTCGTATCGAATCAGATCTTCAGTTGGCTTTTGAAACGCTGCCTTAATTTCTGTTATAGGCATGAGACCATTGATCTTTGAACGGTCTTTCCGACCTTTTCGACGTTTTGCTACGGCAGCCGTAGCATCAGCCAAAAAACCAACTCGTACAGGACCAAACATAGTGCTTGTGGATGCTGTCAGGTTAGTTTCATAACTGTTCGGTGGTTATTCGTCTTCTTTGACTTAATATTTATACTAGGACGCCGTTCGTTGTGTCCGGAACGGTGTTTAGGGACCTTTGGGCAGTGGACTTACAGAGAGAAGCCTTTAAAGGTATATTTTCGTAAAAGTTTGTCGATGGATTTCATAGAAATGTTTCGTGAGTTGTTCATGCTCTGTTTTCCGTCTTTATATGTTTGTGGTTTTCTTTTCTGAATTTCTCATGTGGTCCCTTTCAGCGCTAGCTGCTCGCACACAGATTCCATACAAGGATGTCGACCATATCATATGCGGTACTGTCATCCAGGAATGCAAAACCAGTAATGTTGCGAGAGAAGCTGCTCTTGAAGCAGGCTTTCCAGACAAAGTTCGTGTTTTCGCGGTAGCGGTGTCATAAGTTCCTTAGATTTATTTCTTTGGTGGTTTCAATTACATCTCATAAAAGTTTGAGCTATAGTTACCATTTGATCGCTGTTAGGAAAGTCCTGGTAGGCAGTGAAATGGCGTCTAAATGATCTCATTGGATCTCACTGTTGCTTATCCCGCAATTTCATGTTTACGTAAAAGTTAGTGTTCAGTTTTCTCATTCAGCTTCCAGCTCATACTGTAACCCTAGCATGTATTTCTGCGAATGTAGCGATAACGACTGGAATGGGAATGCTGGCCACTGGAAATGCCAAAGCGGTCATTGCTGGTGGTGTGGAACTCCTTTCTGATGTACCAATCAGGTACAATAGAAAAGTATGTGGTGCTTTCATACTGATTTACATATATTTCTTGTAAAGCGTGACTTATTTCTTTACCACATAGCAATAAGGCCGAATGCGCATTGCCTGTGTTTATATGCTCGGAAGTACTTTTGTTCACGTTTTGATTAACGAAAAGGTTAAACCGATGAGATCTTGGCTTGCAGGACACGATTGTGTCCTGCTAGTGTATCGCTAGTGTTAGTGGTCTAAAGTTCCGTCCGCTTCTGTCTTTATTTTTTGGAATTTTGGTATTGAAGGGAAGTGTAGGTTGGAAAGACGTAGAAAACCCACTTGTGCCCTTAGAAATGAGGAGCAAGTCCTCATCTGTAAGTACCCTAAAATTCTAATTCATCATGTGCTGTGAAAGTTGGACCAGATTCGACGTTACGTACGTCATTAACGAACGAATTATGGAAACCTTTCTTCAATAAGTCTTATTATTTCCACTCTTCATTCCAAAAACTCTCCTCATATCATGCTTACACGTCAGAAAATATTAATCTCAGATATTGTCATGAGCCATCTCATACTTATTTTCTGTCTACTTTGAATGTATTAAGTATTACTAACAAGCATCGTATCAAAAAACATTTAAGAAATGAAGTGGATGAACTGAGCACATCAGAAATGTTCTTCCAATCACCGTTTTAAATTTCGTAATAAATCTCATCTTAAATGACGGTGCCATTCGAAATTTCTTGAATACGGCCGAAATATGACATCATCCCATACGCTGTCAAGAGAAGGGCGTTAAGGAACAGATTAGAAAAGCGACCAAACAAGTCAGGATATTCGGCGTGGTTATCGACCGACTAAATATGAACGGTAAAGGATATAATCAACACGTGGGAGTCTTCTAGGATCCTGTAACGGGTCTCTATGCAAGTGCTTGTTACTTGAAAGTAGGTTCTTTTTTCTAATGAAAAGATTATTACTAGCAACTTTCTTTTTCAGGCACGTAAAGCCATGTTAAACTTGCAGAAAGCTAAGACAGTTGGGGATAAGTTGAAACTTGGTTAGCATTTAATTGTCTTTTGTGTAGTAAAACTTTTTTTCTTGTCCTCTGTCAAGCTGTAACTGGATAATTGTTAAGGAGGAGACATACTGAAGAACATGTTTGCTCCTGAATTACCAGCTGTTGCTGAATTTTCCACTGGAGAAACTATGGGGCATAGTGGTGACCGACTTGCAGCTGCATTCAATGTTTCTAGGAAGTTCGTTTTTGTAGTCACATTATCGTTATATGTCTAAAGACGAATAATGATTTCGTATTTTCTATGCTGTTATTTGAACTTAAGGAAGGAATGTTGCAATCTTCTGCCTTTTATGGTAGCTAAATTTAACCCCTTAAAGGGAACAGGACGATTTCGCACTTCGATCTCACACGCTTGCGAAAGCAGCTGCTGATGCGGGGAAGTTGAGAGACATTATTCCTGTGTTTTTAGATGGAAAGGAACCCCAAACCGTTAAGGTATAATTACTAAGTGGATTTATTATAGAAGAAGTATCATTTTTCTAGTGATTACTTACTTTAAATCTAGATTGATAACGGTGTTCGAGTTTCCACACCAGAAAAGATGGCATCACTGAAGCCTGCATTTGTGAAACCGCACGGAACGATAACTGCAGGTCCATTCCTTCCCTTCATCAGTTTTGAGTTTCGATGACGTGTTATCCAACTTCCTTATTTTCTTAAGCAACAACGTTTCTTAGGCGGTGCGAAGAATATTATTGTTGGAAAGGAGAGATTCCTGATTCTAACTCCATTTTTGGTTTGGAATGTGAACTAGTTTTGGGATTCTATGATCTTAACTACTTGTAGCCAACGCTTCCTACCTTACTGACGGTGCATCGGCTTGTCTTATTATGACCGAAGATTTTGCTTTGGCTAATGGATATAAGCCAATTGCCTATCTAAGAGAATATCAATATGTTGCTCAGGATCCTAAAGACCAGCTGCTTCTTTCTCCTGCTTACGTCATTCCGAAACTTTTAGATAAGGTAATCTGATCTGTCGTTCCAATTTTGTCCTCAATATTTTCTACAAAAATAGTAAATGCTAATAATTCCGATTCCCACCTACTTTGAACCTCTAAATGGATTGTCAGAGTTTTCGTTTTCTTGTAACTATACACGAGACTTACAATGTTATTGTTTTCGTAGCCTTTAGGCCGGTCTTGGATTAAACGATATAAGTGTCTTCGAAATCCATGAGGCTTTTGCCGGACAGGTCTTGGCGAACCTAAATGCTATGGATTCCGATTATTTCTGCAAGGTTAGGATGTGTGGTATTTTTGAATAATTTGTTTCGGATTTATTTTGATGTCTTTGATTTCGCTAATGACTTAATGTTCATCATTCTTGTTAATATCGTAAAAAATTTTGTGATCCAATCATAATTTCCGACCGTTTACTCATCAACGTGTAGCGCGTGTAGGGCGGTTGTCGGAGGCTCTATGCAATACAAATGGGATTGATCGATGCACCCCTGACTCACCAAGCCTTCCATCCCTCTAGGTCGGCAAACGTACCAGACTTGCCTGATAGGATAACTGAGTGGTTACGTCCGTAGCCCACTGCGATTCGTAGTAAAGGCCAGGTATACATTCAATCACCTCCAAACGATGCTCAATGAAGTCGAATGCACGGCGCATCCTTCAGGGATTGATGAGCCTTTTTTGCCCATAGAACCCAGTGCCAGTTCGCCATATCCATAAACAGTTTCCTGAAATTTCGTTCTATGTTTTGAGAACCGCTTATTTCGCCTCAAAGGTGCTGCAGCTCTGGTAGGAGCAAATATCTTGCTTTTTTTTCTTTTTTTTTTGAAAACAGCATGGTTATCACTTTTTTTACAGGAACATATGGGTCGTTCAAGTAAATTTGGACGTTTGCCAATGGAGAAAATCAACAAGTGGGGTGGATCTTTATCCATTGGTCATCCTTTTGGGGCTACGGGGGTAAGACTTGTGGCGCATGCGGCTGGCAGACTAAAGGTGCTAATTTCTTTTATTTCTTTAGAAACTTTTCTTCATAGGGTTTCTGTTCTATTAACCGTTTTTTTTTGGAACTGCTGTTGTATTTTAGTCTAGAAAAAACTGGAGGAAGTTGTCGAGCAAAAATTCAACTTGAATAGGTCCAGTCCCTGTCCTTGTTGACTTCATGATTTGGCTCATGATTTTCTGAATCTTGCACTCGAGTAATTGTAATCGTGTCGTTGTTTAGGAAGAGAAAGGACAGTATGCTCTTATAGCCGCCTGTGCTGCAGGTGGTCATGGAGTGGGGATGCTGGTGGAGGCGTACAAGTAGATACAAAGACTATGGGCCAGGCACTTGTTTTCCAACAATTCCTCAATGTACATTCTACAACACTCGCTTGAAATGGTGTTTCAATGCACTATATTTATTTATACGATTTTCAATTCTGCAGTAGAAGACGTTTATGAATTTGAGTATTATTTCAATGGTTTGTAAATCATTGCATGGTCTAGCTCATCACACTTGTAATGCATTCACCATGTTAGAGGTTGTGTACCACCGTTGAATAGGGAATGAACGAAGTCGCTGAAAATTATGGTTTTTTCTCTGTATTTGTTGCTTATTTTGTAAATAACTTTAATATACAATCAAAAGTAGCTTATGCTAGCAAGATGGTATTGTGTCCTAAGGTCTATGGAATGTAAAGCTTTTAAATTGCTCAAAAATTTAAGCGATTTGTGAAGATGTAGATGCCACTAAGTGCAAATGATTTACCGTTTTCTTTATAAAGGATAGATTTGCAGCGTTGTAGACGGTAGAAACAAGTAAAACACTTCAAAATGTCCGTTTTCCTATCAGTAGTTTAGGAAGTGTAGCTGTGCATAACATTTCTGGCTCACGATTACAAATCTCTGCAATTGATGGGATATGGTGATGATTTTGAGGGTAGTTTAACGATACGGTTGAGAAGATGTGCTTTAATGGTCGATATGCATAGGTTCACATTATGAAGTCTACATAAGAACATTGATAGCGATGTAGTTCAGCATGCACAAGACCTTAGTTCGACACCTTAGGCCATTCAAGCAACCGAACCTTCCTGGGTCGTGAGATTGGTCTGTCATAAGTTAAAACTCGCTCGCTTCAGTTCACAGAAGCTGAGCACTGGCTGTGATAAGCGTCTGAGAACGTTCTAACACGTCAATCCAAGGATTACAGGGAGCATATTTTCGACTGGTATTCAGCAACATTCATAGAGAAGCACTGGAGGGGAGGGTACGACCACCTCCTGGGATTAGAATTGCAATACAACGGAGCATATTGGGAAACTGGAGGAATCTGCACGGCACTTGAAGCCGTTTCATCTAAATGTTTATGTGGAAAAACACTAGGGATACAGTTGCTGCAGGTGAGTTGGTCACCTAATCACAATGTAGATAATATTTAGCTCCCAGGATCGACTTTCTCTTAACCTCGGCATTGGAATATGAATGTGTCGTTTTCTTGTTCAGCAATCGCGAGGTTTTTAAACAGCATACATTTACTTCCATAAAAAAACACTACAATACAACGCTAGCTGACGTTTCGGCAGTATCGCCTTCTTCAGAGCCGCTTTTTCGTGACTTCCAATGAGGAAGTTTAGAACAGCTG